ACAAGAAAACTCGATCGAAAGGGCTTACCCTCTTATAGTTCTGATTATTAAGAACTTCATACCCCAAAATATAAAGTCACCAAAGTAAATGTCCACCTGTTTGTCAGAAACATCACAAAAAGAAAGATGTTAATATAACAAAAGGCTTGTGTATTAAGTATTAACTATGAGTGTAACTTATAACAACTTACTGAGTGTAAAAGAAAAGTACATCGGGTCTAACGGTTATCAGATTAGCAAGAAGAATTGCTAACATGACACCAAATGCAATTAATATGTAAACAAGCAGCCAAACATGATGGAGTGATTTCAAAGAGGTATTCCAAGTTTCATCTTCATACAAGATCCCAATTGGTTCCACATCATGTTTATCTTTTTTTGTGTGACTTGTTCTTTTGTTGAATACTTGATATTTAATGATTTAAACTGTTGCTGCTATCATAGCAATGATGACCCATAATACACAGAAGAAGAACCTCCAGTTCAACCAGTAACTTAGGGTTGTTGTGTTATCAGCCATTAGCAGACCTAGCTAGCTTACAGCTCCTATTTGAAGTTAAATATCAAAATTCAGTACACTTTATGAGATTATAATGTAGTTTGTTAAATGAACTTTAGAGAATGAACGCAAAATTCAAGCTAATTCCCATGGAGTTCCTAATTGTTTTGAGCTGTGATAATTACACCAAATTTAATACTCACGTTGTTTCAAAAATTACAGAAAACAAAACCAACACTACGATTTTTAGAGATAAACTTAGCGTTTTTTAATCATATGTGCAACTATGTTTACAATCATAAGTGATTATAACGAACACAACTGACGATGACCCGTCCGCCATCATCAAAATTGAGAAAAATAGAATGAGATTGAATGATTAAAGCATATGGGAAGGTAGATAATTGGTGTATCAGAAAGTATGAACAAAGTGGAAGTAACAAGAAAACTCGATCGAGAGGGATTACCCTCTTCTCTAGACACGCCTCCCGAGATCGAAAAATCACCAGAGAACTCGAAAAATCGCAGATTGCCGGAGACTTGAGGTTGCTGTGTCGGTTTCGTCGCCGATTACCGGAGCCATTGTGGCCACCGGAGACTTGAGGTTGCTGTGTCGGTTTCAGTCGGTAGGGAAGGAGGCGTATTTCCATCTTCAATTGGTTAAAAACCTAATTTAATTAAAGAGATGGAGAAAGAATGACGCCATGACCGAATTAGTTAAGCAGATTTTATGGAACCATCAAAATGGAAATTCCATTACTACCCTTGAGACCCTTAAATGTAAATATAATAATTACAATTTGGTTCCACATTTCTTGTAATTTACATAAATGACACATTAATATGAACCTTTGATTTTAAGATTTAAATGGCTTAGATCTGTTCTCGCGTTCTCAACATTTTTGGTGTTCTCAATTGAGCAGACTCCTATATAATATATAATATATAGATATATATTATATATATATAATTATATATATATATAATAATATATATAGATATATATATATATATAATATATATATAATATATATATATACATCAAAGTATGCAATTCGAGTCGATGTCTAAGTAAAATGTAATGGGTCATGTATTCATTGATTCGGTGGATATGAGTATGAATTCGGTTATTTAAAACTGTGAGGGTATTAGGAGTTGGGGTGAGTCATGTTTTTTAAATTTTATAAAAGGGTTTAGATTAAGAGCGATTCACCCCCCCCCCCCCCCCCCCCCCCCCCCCCCCGAGATAGATGATTAATAAGTCCGAAATTTCGATAAAATGTTTCATTTATTATTAAAATCGTACAAAAAGTTAAAAGAACTAGAACAAAAACGAAATAGATACTATAGAAATTAGAGGTAGAAAGAGTTTTCGAAAAATGTTTGTGTAAATAATAAACAAATATACATAATATATCATTAAAATTGGAAATTGTCATTTCTAAAAGCAAATCTTAAATAAATCCTTAGAATATGGGTATGTAAGTGTATATCGGGACCATTCCCATCCACTAATATATGTCCTATCATTAAGGTTTATTTTAGCACATCATATGGTGATTTGCCGATATACCAAATATAATCATATCTAATACATAAACGATTATAAAATTCCTTTTAAAAAGACATTTATTATTTATAAAATACAGAGTAGACATAAGCACGGGGTGTTGCGGGAGGGGCAAAGTGGGCAACACGACACAAATTTGTTTTGGGGCCCAATTGTTTTAATTATATTATATATGTATATATATTTATTTAAAAATAAAAAACTTATAATAACGATAAGGGTCATTTTTTTGCCTCGTCCATAACATTTGAGGATATTTAAATCTTTATGACCGACCCTGGACAAAAGTGCTGACAAATTAACCCGACAAGTTTTTACCTTAGAAAGATTTAACTATTTACATCATATTTATTCAGATGTTACACCATTTTGCCAATCGACACTTATATGATAATTATTTAAAATTTTGTATCAATATACATAAAATGGAACCTAAATTTCTTTTTTCGGAAAAAGCATAATATTATATTGTGAATAATATCTCATGTCTAATCCTTCTCAAGCTACACTTTCTAATGTTTTTCCTAAGTGGGAATTAACATCAAATTATTCCCTTATTTCATTGTATTCCTAAATGATCTACAAAAATAAGAATAGAATCATGTAAATTTTAAACAAAATTCTATTGCCATTGTTACTTTGTCTAAAAGATTGGTTGTTTATTCGGTTATTCCCACAAACTTTTGACTAATCTGAATTTCTTTAAATGGAGAATCAGATTTTATTTTAATAAAAGAAGGATAATGTTAAATTAAAAGTTTATACAAGGACATGAAAAGTAAAAAAAAAAAAACAATATGTGCAAGTATAGACCATTTTCACAACTGTTAGTACTAATCGACGTTGTTTAGTTGATCCACATTGGATGGTATTACAAATTTCTTAAATGGTATATTTTAGTCTAACAAAGACGTGTGTAATTAAATCAAGCAGTTTATAATATCTCATCTCATATCAATCAAAGTCTATGTATATGCATGTGGGCCATATTCAATACAACACCATTATAGGACCTAATTAAAAAACCATATATGTTCATTTTTGAAATATAGGTACGTAATAATGTTTAGACATGAATATTTATATCTAGTTATTAATATATCTATGTTCAACCATAAACATATGAGAATATGAGATTAGGTGGTTAATTCTTGTGCAATTGTATATATGTATGTCTATACACATGAGTATTCTTAATAAAGAAAAGACAAAACTGCACAAATGGTCCTTGTGGTTTGTCAAAAATTACCACTTTGGTTCAAAAAAGTTTGGACTAACACCAGAGATCCAAAGTTTTTATTTTGTTGCTTGTTTGGTTAAATCTATTATGATTTTTTTTTCAAAATGACGGATTTGCCCCTATTAATATGATTTTTTCTTTTTTTCTTAATTGTTTTTTCTGATTTTCAGATTTAAAAAAAAATAAAAATAAAATTAAATCTCTCTCTCCCCTCTCTCTCTCTCTCTCTCTTCGATCTTCCTTCTCGTCACTCCTTTTTTCTTCGACTCCCAAATACCAACTGAACCACCGATTCCTAAATCAGTCACAAACCGACGGCCGGACACCATGGCTCCGTTCAACCCTGCGGTCTGGAAATCGGACTGTCACTGTGCCCCGGCACATGATTCTCCGGCTATGTGCTGCTGTGATTCGACACCGACCCTACAACTTGAACGGATCTTCACATACTTATAGCCACCTTCCGATCCGCCGAAATGTTTTGGAGTTCTTGAAAATGTTGTGATTCGGCACCGACCTTAACTCGATAACTCACGAACGGACATTTAAATTTACAGTTCACCTACACAAGCACAAACAACACTTTTTGATTTTTTACACATTTTCGTGACAACTGATATTAAATACATCTTTAACAACATGTTGGGTACTAGGTTCACCAACTATCTACTGCTAACTGTATACTCCGACTATGTGCTGCTGTAGAAGATTGAGTTGATTTAGAGAGCCAATTAACGGAGGAATTGGACCGAAGACTAAGCTAGACATAAGGTCGAGCACCTAGAGTGCACCCGTCTTCTTCCTCACGAACATCATCATCTTCTTCCTCTCTTCATATTCCAACCAACACCACCACCCATCTCCGCCTCCGTCGATAGCTGGGTGCTCTAGAACCCTAGATTTGAGATAATTTGACACGATGTTGTTGAGCCCTTGCTACTTGAAGTCGATCAGATCTATCACATTTCTTACTCTGCTTCCCTGTTAATTACAAACACAATCCAGTCAATACATTCAGATTGGAGCACACTTCTTGCTACAAGCACCAGTGAGGAGATAAGTTGAAGAACGAGGGATATGGCGGTGAAGATTGACGTCGCTGCTAAAATGACATCGGCGTTGGAGGTGGGTTTCAACGAGAAAAGGGGTGGCGGAGCAGGAGGACCACGATGGAGACGATGGAGGTGGGGACTAAGAGTTTCTTCTGGGTTTTTTCTTTGTATGGTTTTTCCCTATTTGTTCTAAATGGAGATTCAATATCAATTCATGGTAAAATTGATTTTGATTTTATAAAATCCAGAGAGAGAGATATTTTTTCTATTTTTTCTGTTATAAAAATTATATAAATTAAATAGAAAAAGAAAATTTTCTTTTTTTTTTTTAAACTGAAAAAATCTTTAAATAATAAAAAAAATGAAAAAGAAAAAAGTAAGGGCAAAATCGTTATTATGAAAAAGTTGATCGTAAATTGGATCAAATTCGCAAAAAAATGAAAAGTTTGGACCTTTGGTGCTAGTCCAAACGTTTTTGGACCAAAGCGGTAATTTTTGACAAACCACAGGGAACCATTTGTGCAGTTTTGTCTAAAGAAAACGAGAATACCCAAAAGGCAAACCACCTTCAAACCACAATTAGCACATCACTTTCCTTATATATGCGCATTTGCACTCTTCCTCGTAAACTAAAAAATCACATGCATACAAAAATGGCGTTGAACATAACCTCGGTTAAGACATCATCGGATGGAGTGTGGCAAGGAGATAATCCTTTTCACTATGCATTTCCGTTGTTGATAATCCAAACTACATTAATTATCTTTATCAGTAGATTGCTCGCCTTCTTCCTCAAACCTCTCCGACAACCTAAAGTAATTGCAGAGATACTTGTAAGTTTTTCTCCACAAAAAAAACTAGATCACCACTACAAAATGTCCTATTGAGATTTTTGAATTTGTGGAAATGTTTGTTTAACTAGTAATAATGTTTATATATAGATATTCTTTTTCACAAAATGACAATCCAAATCATTAAAAAAACCTGTGAATTCACAAGAAGGTTACTATGGGCCTGCAATTAGGTTGCTTTAATAAACACAAAAGGCACTTTATTACCAAAAAAATGTCGCTATTTAGACGTAGATTAGCAAATGCTGAAATATGTTAATATTTCGCAAGGTATATATATTTTGTAGAGAAATTAAATATCCTCCTACTTTTTGTTCCTACAAATATTTATACCAATTTAAATGATGACATGTGTTACATTAATATACTAAAATATCATTAATTTTCATTAAATGAGCATTAAATATTACACATGTTTCCATTTAATTGGGTAGGAGGATTTGTAGGAACAAAAAGTAGAAGAATATTTAATTTCTCATTTTGTAGACAATAACGCGTATTTAAATAAAATCACAATTAAACTTAAAAACTGGGAATCTAAAAACTTGAGGAAGATAAATATGTTTAATAGCAAAAACAAAAAGATGTGGTTGAAATCGAACCATAACAAAAGCAACTAAATGTTGTTTATTTCTTTTAAGCTTCCATATTAAAAAAAAAAGGTTTTAATTTTGAACTCACAATCTAAACTTTAATATACATGCACCTTAGTCATTTCAACTAAAGTATGAAATCTTATACTTTTTATTTTATTTTTTGTGTTTTTCAAAATATTTACGAATTTGATTATTTTTTGCTAATTTACTGCTAAAATGAGCGAAGTTTCTTTAATACTGTCTTTCAAAATATCACGAATTCATGGTTTGGATATAGTTATTTTGTGATGACTGATTGAAAGATGGCCGCATTGGTATAAATCACACTAATAAACTAAGTTTCATAGTAATCGTTTAATTGATTTAGACGTCATATAACCGGTAAAGAAAAACCTATACAAGTCCGAAAACCGGTCTGGTGGTCTAACGGGTTATACCACTTTAAAAAGTTCCTCTTAGGGTGGAAATCCCAACCCGAACCCGACAATCGAATCCGAACCTAATCCAATAAATAGCAACTTGGGTTGAGATTTTGAACCCATTTAATTAAATGAGTCAACCCGTCTAACCCGTTTAATTAAATAGGTTGGATTAGTGTTGAAATTTATAACCCGTTTACAACCCGCCAATCCATTTAAATTTTTTAAACATTTTTTTATATTATTATTATTTAGTTGATCATTATATTTTGATTATTTTTTATGTAACCATTACTGGAAGTCTCATTGGTAAAAGTGATAGTGGAGTTGTGTAAAATTTAAAAATAAAACATTTATTATATTTTATGGTTGTAAACACTTAATTTATGTTTGTGTTATGGGCCTGTAAGCTTCTTGTTGTATTTTTCAAACTTGAACTGCTATTGTATCTTTTAAATTGTATGTAATTTTATTTGTTGGATTAAACAGTTCAACCCTTTTATGACTCGACCCAACCCACCCATTGCCACCCCTAGTCCCTCTTAACCCGTTTATGACTCGACCCAACCCAACCATTGCCACCCCGGTCCCTCTTAAGGCCGGTGACAATTTTATTGATTAATAAGTTTTAAAATAACTTTATTAGTTAATAAGGCCAATTTTCTTGGTCATTCTGTTATGTAAAAGAAACAGAAAAAGTTAAAAAGGCCCGTGACCCATGACCACCTAACCGGTCCGGTTATGAATGACCATTTTCTTGACCCAGGTCTGGTTATAACCGGTTAAAGACATGGGGCCCATTTTTTGTGCATCTAGCCTCTAGGTATGATCATAGTTATTTTGTACAATGTATTTGTGATACAATCTTTGCATACTTGCAACCGATTGTATTAGCAATACGCAAATACGTATCCACTTCAAGTATCCGTTCTATCATAATTCATACATGCCTTACATACATATATTTAGATCGATTATCTTAATAATATTAAAAAACAAATATAATGGATAATTATGCATCATTTTGAAACTTTTCAGGGTGGAATTCTTCTAGGGCCATCGGCTTTAGGCAAGAACCATGAATTTATGCTATGGGTTTTCCCCTCATGGAGCACTCCGATCCTCGACACAGTAGCAAGTATCGGTCTTTTGTTCTTCCTCTTTCTTGTAGGCCTCGAACTCGATCTCACTTCCATTCGCCGGAGTGGAAAGAAAGCGTTAGTAATCGCCACAGCCGGAATCTTATTACCCTTCTTGTTCGGAATCGGAATCACATTCCTACTTCGGAAAGCCATTTCCGGAGCTGATAGAGTCGGATACACCCAATGCTTTTTGTTTATGGGAGTTTCCCTCTCCATCACTGCTTTCCCGGTGCTTGCTCGGATACTAGCCGAGCTCAAATTGTTGACAACTCCGGTAGGCGAGACTGCCATGGCGGCGGCGGCATTTAACGATATTGCCGCCTGGGTTCTATTGGCTCTCGCAGTGGCACTCGCTAGCGGGAGCCACCAGAACCCCGTTGTCGTCACTCTGGGTGTTGATATCCGGTGCCGGATTTGTTATCTTCATGGTTGTTGTAATCCGTCCAACTATGAACCGGGTGGCTAGCCGGTGTTCTAACCATGGTAAAGTTGAAGAAGGGTACATATGTTTGACCCTAGCAGGGGTTATGTTATCGGGATTTATGACGGATTTTATCGGGATTCATTCGATATTTGGTGCGTTTGTTTTTGGATTAATGATTCCCAAGAACGGGGAATTTTCCGGGAGGTTGATTAGGAGGATTGAAGATTTTGTTTGTGGGCTTTTGTTACCATTGTACTTTGCTTCAAGTGGACTGAAAACCGATGTGAATAAGATAGAAGGTGTGAAGGCGTGGGGGTTGCTAGCGGTGGTGATTACCACCGCTTGCACTGGAAAGATTCTTGGGACGTTTTTGATGGGAATGGCATGCATGATTCCGATGAGGGAGTCATTCGCTTTGGGGTTATTGATGAATACAAAAGGTTTGGTTGAACTTATTGTTCTCAACATTGGCAAGGAGAAGAAGGTTCGGTTTTTACAATGTTACTCTTGAAACCTAAATTGGAGATGCACAAAATAATCCAAAACTAAAACCGGTTTCTAATATCTTTTCGAACAGGTACTCAATGACGAAATGTTTGCAATCCTAGTAATGATGGCACTTGTTACAACATTCATGACAACACCACTAGTGATGGCAGCATACAAACCGGCCCGTAACATCACCGCCACAGTCCACCACCGGTCACTTAGCGAATCATCATCTCACCATTCACAAACCCTACAATTCGACCTTCGGGTCATCGCCTGTGTCCATGGCCCACAAATCTCACCCTCAATGACCAATCTAATCAATTTAATCCAATCCCCCAACACCTACTCAACTCTAAAGCTCTATATCCTACATCTAATTGAACTGACCGAAATGTCCTCGTCAATAGCCATGGTGCATCGGGTCCGTAAAAACGGTGTCCCATGCTTCACGGGTAATAAAGGATCTGAAGTTGGGTCAAAGTCAAATAAAGTCAAGGTGCGAAAGTCAACTGCCATCTCAGCGTTGGCAACGATGCATGAGGATATATGCCATGTGGCGGAGAGGAAGAAGGCTACGATCGTCATTTTACCCATACATAGACCATGTCAGGAAGGAGAGACGGGACACTGTTGGGAAGTTGTTAACAGGAGTGTTCTTATGCATGCGCCGTGCACGGTGGCGTTGATGGTGGATCGTGGTGGCTTTGGGGTTGACTGTGACCGGAAAAGGATTTGTGTTGTGTTTGTGGGCGGTCCGGATGATCGAGAAGCGGTTGAGTTGGGCGGCAGGCTGGCTGCACAACCTGATACTAAGGTGTCCATAATTAGGTTCCTAATGAAAGGCAAGGATAATAGACATCCCGATGATGTAGATATCGAGAAGGTAAAAAAGACAGATTTACCCTTTTAACTTACTCAACGAATTAATGTTAAATATTCCTCTAACAGGAACTGGATGAGAGGTTGTTAGAAGAGTTCAGAAGGCGGTGGGATGGGGAAGCCAAATATGTTGAGAAGTCAACTCACAACATGATGGAGGAGCTACTTGCAATAGGGAAGAATGAAGAGTTTGGGCTTGTGATTGTAGGCAGAGGGAGGTTTCCGGCGACGATGGTTGCCGGAATCCTTGAACAGGAAGCTGAAAGGTCACTGGAATTGGGAGTTATAGGGAACTTGCTAGCATTTTCCGGTGGTCAGGAAATTGCATCTTCTGTTCTAGTGGTCCAGAAACATGATCAAGCTAAAGAAGACCAAGAGAGAACCATGTTTGACCAACATTTGGTCTAATAATAATTTGTAATATATTCATCCTGTCGTACAAGATAATGTGTGTTTGGTTTGGGGATTCCTCCTACAGAATTGGAATTCAAGATTCCATTACATGGTGTGTTTGCTTGCCAAATGAGAATGAATTCAGTTCAATCAGATTCCTTGGAATTCCAAGCTTGATGGATTTCACCATTCCTTGGGGTAGGTGGAAGGAATTTAATTACATTCTTCTTTTTTTTTTATTATTAAAAGACCAAAATACACAGACTATATATATTTGAAATAAATAAAAATAAAATTTAGTTATATGTGAAAATTTAAGAAAAAAAATGATTCATTTTTAGCTATTGAATTTCATTTCATTTCCTGCCAACCAAAAGCATGACGGAATACAATTCCTTTGATAGATTCCATTCCTTCCAAGACATTCTGCAAACAAAACGCCCCATAAATTGGTCAAAGGTGCATTCCATGTTTATCGGTTCATTGTCTAATATTTTATCTAATACTAACGAAACACGATTTAATGTTGTCAAGATTCAAGAATCATGCATATCAAAAGTAACATTTATAGAACATCAATAATTTTGGTTAAATATTAGAGCTCTAATGGAATCTTATACTAACAAATGGTGTATCGTTAATGTAAACATCAAAAGTACACATACAAAGTCACAAATGAAGTTTAAATTTCAACACAAAAACAAATAACTTTGGTTCTCTTTTAGTTGGGCAATTAGCCCATCTTTGTTGACAATTGTACACAATATATACATTTTTTTAACCACAAAACCAGCACAATAATCTCTTAAATATAAAGAAAATTTTTTCAAAACGAATTTAAGGTTGAAAGATACACTAACCTTAAAGAAAACCTGCCCCAGACCAATTTCCATCTGATTTTCCGGTTTTACCCTCAGAAGATGGGGTCTTGTAGAAACTGTCATACCCATCATCTTTAGGGTCATGGTCATCCCAGCCAGCCCAGTCATCACCATTAGTTGCAGTCGGTGTGGTGGACCCAAGCTTCCTATTGCCATCTGTATCCCAATCATCCCAAGAGTTGGAATTTCTGCCAGATGAGCCAACGGAACCGCCGATTCCGGCAGACGATGGAATGGAATTGGAAGTTCCATTAGAATTCAACCCCTTTGTGTTCCTGTCCAAACTCCTGATAAAACCCATTTCCCTGTGTTTCATTTCTTTGCCAGCTGGGATTTTCTGTGGTGAGCTCTTCAACCTTCTGTGAAGCAAATGCCATGACACCTTTCATGATCCCCCATGTCTTTTGTCCAATTTCTGTTGTTTTTGCTGTCACAACATTCACTGTTTCATTCACTTTGTAATCATAGCCACCATCTCTGACCTGTTGAGAAAAAAGTGTAAATAAACTGTATTGAACTGTTTCATATATACAAAAAGATGTATATCAACAGACCTTGGTTGTGAGCTCCTTTGTGCCAGCTTGAACAACACTAGCAGCAGATGCAGCAACAATGGATAATTTACCAAGTCCCTGAATCACATATTAAGTATAATTGTGATTGTATACATAAGAATCTGACACAAGATAAGAATTTTCAATTCAGTGATGAAGAATAGTAAGGTGTACCTGAGTAACGGAAGAAAGAACATCCCCTTGTGCGTTGGGCCGTGGGATCGGATTAGGAGATGATCCAAATCCGACATACTTGCCGCCTTTAGACGGAGGCAATCCCTCAGGTCGCGACTCGTTCTCTGCCATCTTCTTCGCGAAAAATCCCTCTTTTCCCGCCGCAGATGCCTCCAATTGCGACCGCGTATACATATCATCGGTAGATTTTGACCTAGCCGGCATCCCACCGCCACTACCACCAGTTCTAAAATCTCCAACACTCTGATTCTTTCGCATGTAATCCGGAGATCCGAATCCTCTTTCGTCAAAGCTACTATCCCCCCAATCACTGTCCCAACCTCCACTATTTCCACCCCTTCCGCCACTCCCCGCCGACAACGGAGGCTTCTTACTACCACCGTTTTTAATCGAGCTTTCCTTCACAATCGGTGGGTCCTGCCAGGATTTACCTTCAGCTAGGGCTTGGATCCTGTCCCTGTAAACCGAAGCAGCGTTGGTATTATACTTCGACACAATATCTGTCTCTTTCGGAATCCCATACTTCGAGAAGAAGCTATTGAGTTTCTCGTTGCCGCCGGACTCCATTTTTCGGAGTTGGATCTCAGACCATGAGTCCATGGTGACAGATCGGACAAAGGAGATATGAACACCGAGACCCCGGTGCTTGCCGGAGCACTCTAAGCACATGAAGATACCGTAGGATACAGAGGCCCACTGAGGGTTCTTCTGTGAGCAATCGACGCAGGTCTTGTTTCCTGGCTGCGATTGGAGGTCCCGGAGACGCCGTGATGACGCCATATCGAAGATCCGAAGAATTTGGCGTTAGGAATTGGGATCTGCGGGAGAGATCTAGTGCATATTTCGCTGTCCGATTTGTGAGTGTGAAATGTTTATTTTCCTATAAATGGTTTTCCAGTTGGATGTCACGGTCCATACTTCTCCCAATCTTAATCTTAAAAATAGAATAACCCTATCATGATCACTACTTTCACAGGTATTTCCTAAAACTTCTTTTACATGATTACTTTCTTAATTTATTTATTATGACTTTAATTTTAAAATACGATCATAATAGTCTTTTCTTTTTAGGGTTTTTAGTAGAATAATCAAAAAAATAAAATAAAAACTACATAAAATAATCACAATTTTTGTAAGTACATCTGTGAAAATCTAAGTGACTTTTAACTATTATTATTATTATTTTTGAGATTTTTGTAGGTCAATACCTATAAAAGCTAGGTAGTGTGCACAAATGTTTTTTTAATTGTTTTAAGATTTTTGCTAACCCAAATGGTATAATGATTTGTTATAAAGTTCGAATACAAAAGTTATAAAGCTTTTTTTTTTATAATTTTTCACCGAATAAAAAACTTTTGCGCTAAAAAAATATGATTTGCAGACATTCAAATTAGGAGTGTAATATTAACACGGATGATCCTTCTTACAAAGAACGCAATGAAAAAAAATAATAAGCTCAAACAAGGTTTTTATGTGAAACTTATGAAAAATAGATTTTTTTTTCTTTTAATATTTTTCACCAAATAGACTATTTGAATTTAAAAAGTATGACTTTCTAACATTCAAATTTAGAGTGTAACATGTATATCCAAAACCCGTTTGAGATGGGTTTTTTCATTGCGTTTTTTAACAAGAGTCATCTATAAACATATTACCCTCCTAATTTGGATGTCGGAAGGTTATATTTTTTTAAATCCAAAGTAGGCTATTTGGTGAAATATTATGAAAAAATAACTTCATAACGTTCGCATACATATTTCCTAGCAATCGTCATACCATTTAGTAAGGGTATTCACGGTGCGGTTTGACGTCGTTTAAAGCCAAAACCGCAAACTGCACCGTAAATGTAATTTCAGATTTTTTTTCAAAACCGTAAACCGCACCATGGAAACTAAAAACTGCGTTATGCGGTGCAGTTTGATGTGGACAATTTATGCGGTTTAAATGTTGTTTTTACAGTTTTATGAGTTGTTAAATTTTATAACTTTTAAAAAACCAAAAAACTTTGCTATTTTAGATTAAAAAAACTGGAAACATCATGCAAAGAAACCAAAAACCAAGTTTCTTTGAGTTTCTTTGAGTGAGTATAATACTTTACTTAATTAATTCCTTATATAATATAACTATACTTACTAATTCTACTGATTTTAATCCATACCAACATGAACCAAGTTTTTGTGCTAGGAAGATTAGCATATCAATATTACCAAATGTTAATCGCTACCAACTTGAAACTAAGTTTTATTGTTGCAAGTTAAACATGTAACAAACTACATCTAACCGTTATGAAGTTATGATTGGATAATTGTTACTCTTTTATTACAAACTATAAGATTTGACAAAAATGTTTATCACTGTTCTTAAGGTCAATTCCAAAGAACACTTATCTTCATTGTTTCATTATGCTTTAGCTTTGAGGACACACACTTCTTCCTCATTAGGTCTTATTAGTATTATGATTGATATATGGTGAATCATGTCCAATTCGGAGAAGATCAAAATTGATTTTCAAGCTTCAAATTGTAAGGTTTGTGAAGTTAAAGAAATGAAGTACTTTCTATTTTTTTGTTTTTAATAGCAATGCATTTTCTATTTTTTGTTTTTAAATAGCAATGTACTTTTTATTTATTTATAGAATTTAGTTAATTTCTGTTTTTTAAAATTTAGGTGGTGGGATTCTTCAAGCATAAAACTCTTTTCACAAGTATTTCATTCGCTTATTAGTTTATTTGCTTCTTGCCCCAAAACATGGTTGTTTAGTTAGGACATCAATGGGTTTTCCACGAGGGAATTCAAAGTGGTCTATTTGTGTTTTTTTTTTTCATTAGAACAATATACAAAGTATATTAAGAACATAGGGGGGTTTCTTCAACAAAAATCACTACAGGAAGTCCAGATCATAAAAAATAATTAGAACCCTCAACCACAACCTCTACATGGATTGATTGTGAAACTATTTAAAGTCTCATTGAAAGAACACCGTCTTGCAATTTGCCACCAACAACCTCTCAAATGGTATGCTTTTTTATTCATCTTAGTCTTTTGAATTTGATCATCATAATTAAGTTTTAGTGTTTGGAGGTGTGTGTAGACCAATATTTTGTTTTAAAATCTCAATAATTGGTTTTCGGTGTTCAAGTAAATTCATTATGATTATGATTATGCTATTTAAATATTTAGGGTTAATATTTTCATCCTTTGCTAATACGGTAAGGATGATATCAAAATGCCTCTTATTAGCCCAAATAATGTTTTTAGCTAATTGGGGATTGTAAGGTTTGTCCAAATTTGTATTAACCGAGTCTTTAATTGTAGTCATGTTGGGTTGATGACTCTATGCTAATAAGGTGTGTGTAATTTTTGTTCTATCGCCATTGATGCCTAT